AACTTAAAGCATTTTTGGTTTTTGATCATAGGAGGCTATTTTTAAAAAAATATCGATTTTATATCTGTATTAGCATTTGTTATCATTTATAATACCTAGATATGTTTTAAATGTAATTTAAAGCATTATTGGTTTTGATCATAGTAGTTTTTTTTTTCAAAAAAACATCGATTTTATATCTGTATTAGCATTTGTTATCATTTATAATACCAAGATATGTTTTAAAATGCAATTTAAAGCATTTTTGGTTTTGATCATAGTAGGCTATTTTCAAAAAAACATCGATTTTATATCTATATTAGCATTTGTTATCATTTATAATACCTAGATATGTTTTAAAATGCAATTTAAAGCATTTTCGGTTTTGATCATAGTAGGCTATTTTCAAAAAAATATTGAATTTACATCTATATTAGCATTTGTTATCATTTATAATACCTAGATATGTTTTAAAATGCAATTTAAAGCATTTTTGGTTTTTGATCATAGGAGGCTATTTTTAAAAAAATATCCGGCCTGTTTCACTAAAGTGGATTATCCTCAATTTCGGATTATCCACTTCAGTTTTTTGCAAATATCTCCATACGCTTAAGGTTATTAAGAGATCTAATGTGTGATCTAGTTAGAGTACTTTGCTACTTAAATTAACATACACTTAGAATTTTTATATCTTCATTAGTTTGAGAATTATAGCAAAAACCGAAGTTAATCTTCTAGATTTGGCTAGAAAATTGAATAATTAATACTTCTAAACGAAAAGCAAAAGTTTTAAGTATACAGAAATTTCAGGCATAGTTCACTCTATTATAATCCAAAATTAGAAATACCACACCTCCCATAAAGTTTAAGATATTTGCAAAAAACTGAAGTGGATAATCCGAAATTGAGGATAATCCACTTTAGTGAAACAGGCCGATCGATTTTATATCTATATTAGCATTTGTTATCATTTATAATACCTAGATATGTTTTAAAATGCAATTTAAAGCATTTTCGGTTTTGATCATAGTAGGCTATTTTCAAAAAAATATTGAATTTACATCTATATTAGCATTTGTTATCATTTATAATACCTAGATATGTTTTAAAATGCAATTTAAAGCATTTTTGGTTTTTGATCATAGGAGGCTATTTTTAAAAAAATATCGATTTTAAATCTTTATCTGCATTATTTTTCATTTATAATACATAGATATGTTCTAAAATGCAACTTAAAGCATTTTTGGTTTTTGATCAAAGTAGGCTATTTTTAAAAAAATATCGATTTTATATCGCAAAAAAAAATAGCGATTGGAGCAATAGAAGTGGTCGAAAAATCGATTGCAAGATTTGAACGTGACATACAAAGAAACCAACAGAGCAACTCAATAAAAAGCGTGTTAGTAATAATAATAATAAAGAGAATAAAACATGACGAAGAAGAAGTAATATTTGTATGTAGGCAAGGTATTTATTTACTTTTTCCCTTGTGTAACATATTTTCTTTCTCTCTTGTCAATTCAATCTTTCGATCTTCTCTTTGACACACTGATCGACAATCGTTTGTCTATTGCTTCTGTTGCATAACATCGAGCGTATTAGCATTTAGCTTCTCAGTCCATAAATTTGCAAGTGAAAACATGAATGGAAACAAAAAGTTCATAAATTTATGACCTTGCATCACTGCATAACTTTTTTTTAAAATATAAGTAACTTTGCAACTGAGGAATTATTTAAATTTTTTTTAGTCTATTGCAGTAAAAAACAATGCACTGCTGCAAAACATGAAATTCCTTGAATAAAAACATAGGCTTCCGTTGAAGATCATTCATTTGTATTATAGTGATATTATGAATTAAAGGAAACAAGCATGACTTAATGCTAAAGCAACTTCCACAGAAATCATAAATCTCGAAATGTTTAATGATTCATTTTAGCATGCATGGAGGAATATATCTTCATTTCAAGAGTGTTGTTTGCTTTTAAGTGAACGCTTCTTATTCCTTTGTAGAGTAGACAAATCAAATATTTGATTTATAAAGCTACATATTCATGTGAAATGTATCGAAGAAGACCAGACTTGAGTGATGAACTGAATGTAACCTTGAATCAAGTCAAGTGAGCTTTAAATCTTTCCTCATATAATTTTTGCACAACTTCCACTTCACATTTCTTTTCATGCATTTAAATCTTGTAGAAAGAGAAGATTACGCAACAAAAAATGGAAAAGGATTTTTTTAATTAACGAGCAGTTGCAATTCTTCGTTTCTTTATTTTGGGGTCTTTCATTAATGATATCTTCTATCAGACGAACATGTTGGTTTGGTAACGATTGATATTATATATTGTTTTAATTAAAGAGACCCTCCTCTCCCTCGATAAATATTTGACGTCATTTTTAAACAACTTGTTTTCTATCTTTTTGTTTTTCTCTCGAACATACTTGGAATTGCAAATGCTTAAAACTTGTGAATATGGAAACAAAAAAGAAGTTAGTATATGCATGACATGATGAATGGAGCTTTCACATGAGTATATGAGTATAAGAAGTGACATAAGTTGACACTTTTTAACATTAAAGTATTTAAAGAGTGGACATGAACAATATTCTTCTCGGTTATATCTTCAAATGAATCAAAAACAGATGATGAGAGATAATTTAATTGAGATGATATATGATTCATAAAAAGAAGAAATCAAATAATGTACCATAATTTTATGAAATTTGACACTCTCTTGAGGTAATAGCCGCAGACATCGTAATTTTCTTAATTTACGTCTTTTTTTTTCATTACACATTTGAAGTGGAGTTTTCCCAAGGTCGATATCTCATTACAGTAATGTATGCAAGCAATGCATGAAATGCTACTATATAAATGCATTAATCGCTGCATTGATTTTGGAGCACAACATGTAGAATTGCTTACACAGATGTGAACTGGATCAAGCATGCACAAGGAAAGCATTCGTAAACATTTTTCAAAACTATAGAGTTTTAATAAGCACATCAAGTTGTCAGGAAATTAATATGAAAACATGATGAAATATTTCTAGAGTAACTGTGTGATATTTTAATTAAATGTCTCATTTTTCATAGAAAATTAATCAAATCAATGTCTTTCATTTCATCATCATGCTTATAAAAAATTTTCAATATCATATTTGAGTGCTAAAATTATCCATAGTACATGAAAGATTCATTAATATAGTTATATATTGAGAACACTTAAAAGTAAATTAATCAAAGTTTTTAAACATCAAATTCACAGCTGGATTTTTTTTATATTCACACCATATGATTTTTAATACTTTTATAGGCGATACAAAGCTCGCTCGTTTTTAGAATGAAATATCTTACTGAAATTCCTACTTACAAATTAAAATAAGATTATCAAAACTTTAGCAGAAAACAGATAGATGGAAATCTCAAACTATCATAGAATCAAGTTGTGCCATTTTAATTTCACTTAGAGTTTTTTTTTTCAGGATTTCAATTTAAATTTATTCATCTTAAATTGAGCAACAGTGTTTTACTAAACCTTTAAAGGCTACAATTTTATTCTTAAATCTATATTATGTATGCTAGCTCAGTCTATAGCGCATAATCTTCACTAAGCAGTTGTGTCCAGCAACCAATTAAAAACTGTTATAGATCTTAGAACTAGTGTTCATGTCGGCTCTCGTTCCAAATTTTAGTAGGTCACAATGTCTCCAGGTCCGTTCTAGTAAAAGCACTTCATGGTGAATTTACGGCTCTCGTATCTTTCTATCTCAAGTATCTAAACTTCTAAAAATCACTAGGCTGATGGTGGTAATTGAACCCGAGAGTCCAAATTCAACACCAACTTTTGTGACCTGTACCTTGCCAACTGAGATATCGAGCCACTTTTGCTTCTCAGTTGATTCAAAAGGACCATAATTAATCGAATAGTATTGGCTACTATTAAATAGCGTTTCAAAGCTGTACAGTTGGTTTAATGATAAATATTTCTCTTGTTACATTCCAATGTTCTTTTTAAAGAGATTTTCCACGATTAGGTGTGAATATAGACACATTGGCTTAGAATCTAAGATCCTAAACATTAGTTTGATTTCATCAAATTTAATGATGATAGACGCGTGCCACATGGAATAAAAACATAAACTGACTTGTTTTGGTTTTCTTTAAATTTCAAGTCCATTCATAAAAGTAATGCTTTAACATGAGAAGAAATAAAAATTAATTTAACTTGTCAAAATTTACGTTATTAATGAAGAATAACGGGTCGCGTGAGATTTAACCTTGAACCTATTTCTCTGGGCAATTATATTTTATTGTGAGATATTGTGTAAAGACTTTATTTAAAGGTAGGTAACAATGAATGGTAAAATTAAAGAAACAAAAATTTCAAAATTGCTCACTGAATATCAAGTTCGTGTTTCTTCGCCATTTTATTAAACTTCATAAAACAAAGATGAACTTGCAATTCCTCATGACAAATTCACCTCCAACTTTCAAAACAATGAAATATTTGTTTAAACTCGAGCATGCAAACCCTGCAACCAGATGGAATTCTTTGAATTATTAAATTTGTTCATTATTCAAATGATCATACTCTTCGGTACTGCAATATGATAATAGGTGTACATTTATCATGGCTGCATCACTTGAATGTATATACTTTTAGTTTTAAATGTTAAGGTAAGATGTGTTTGCTCTCGTTTAAAATATTTCATAAGCCATCAACATTAAAGCACTGTATCGAAGAATATCCATAACATCATTAATCAGATCCTGTAAAATGATTTCACTGAAAGATAAAACTGCTAATTTAAAAGTAAATTGATATGTAAAATCACTGTACATTATAATCTACATCGACAAGAAATCATGAGGCAAACAGCATGAAAATGAGTAAACATTTAAAGTAAGTTCCATGAAAAGTTTGTTTTATTTTAAATAAGATAGGATACAAAAATACAAAATAGACGTAAAGTGTCGATCACCAAATGCAAATAAGTATTGGAAAGTTTAACTTTTATCAACTTGGCATCTTTTGATTTCTCATGTCCATCAAAAATAGCATGACAGATATAAAAATGACAAATATTGTAGTCATTACAAAGATTAAAATTGATATTGTGTGGCTTCTACGACAAATTGCCTTTTTCGATTTATTCAGTCTTTCATCTGAGTCATTTAATGATATCACTGTAACGTGCACAAGAAAATAAATAAATTAAATTAATTCAGTTAGGGACAAAGAAAAGTGAAATTACCCGTAAAATTTGTAGTCGTTTTTGAGCTTGCTGTTGATAATTGGTCAACTTCTATTTCCTTCTTGTGATGGCTATTAAACGAAGTGAAATTTTTCTCGTCATGTTTCGATGGAATATTTGCAATATTTTGAAGCATTTTCCATCGATGCTCGTACATTGGAAATTGATTTGCTTCTTGATTTAGAAAGTAGTTGAAATAATAATTTGATTTTAATATGATATTTGGATTATGGTCAATAAATCCATGAACTGATGACGCCTTATTTCGATGATGAGACTTTTGAATAACTCCATTTGATTTATTGAAGTTTTCCAAATTTTTAACACTTAGCAGTAGAGAGTTAACGCTCTATATAAAAGAAATAAAAATTGCAAAGCTTAACATATAGTGAAGTCGTTCACAAATGACGTGCATCAGAAAATATGTGTTCCAATATTAGTATTCTCAACTTCAGGGACTGAAGTATCCCAAGACACAAAAAAAAGATTGTATTATATACTCGACGTCATAAGCGTACGACCCTATTAATTTTATTAATCTTACATAATTGCTTTGATTGCTAGATGAGGATGATGAACTCTGCGTTGCTGATGGATCTCTTTTGCGAGTCTTATGAAGAAAGTATGCTTGATGCTTCTCATAGTGATGATCTAATGACATTTTAACAGGCACATTATCAACTTGATTAATTGATTCATCAAAACTTTTTTCATAATTTTGATTAGTCAGCTTTGACTCGTTATCAGAAGAATGTGCTTTTAGAATGTCCACTGAATGGCTCCTTCGTAGAATAAAGTTTTCATTATGCATGATATGAGATGGATTTTTTCCTGAATGATTTGAACTCTTAACTGATGCACTAGATGATGAGCTCACAGATGCACGTGGAATAAATAACGAATTTCTTCTATTATTATCGCTGCTTGTTTCTTCAACTGATTGACGCATATCTGAAGAAATAATATAAGCATTTGGTAATTGTATACGTCAAGTATGATAAGATATTGTAATTAGGTTAAATAATATAGTAGTTGAAAATATCCGCTAAGACAAATTTCATCAAAGCAAAATATTTTAATTCCTTTTACAGAAGCTATAGAATAGCTTGATTCATTTGAGACAAAAGTACAATTAAGATGTTACAATAAGAAGAAAATGTAACAGATTAGTTATTAAGTAGCTTATGGATGACATAGCAAATTCATGTATTGGGAAGTATTTTTTGTCGGATGAATGGTAAATGAAGCATGTAAAGCATTACAGAGTATAACAATGAGACACTGACTGACCTTTGTTAATACAAAACTTTACATGTTTAGGTTAAATGGTTTGACAACGAATAATTACAAAGGTACATAACATAGACACAATATTAAGAAACATAGTTGTACGTCTAAGATGCTGTAAAATTGATTTATGTTTATATTTAAAAATCTTTCATAGAATTAACGCTTTTTATCCTCATATGAGGATTTTTACGTAATCGATATAGGAAGAACGTTGTATAAACAATACCTTACAATATTACCGTTCATCTTTATTAGGTGTGTACATATGAACTTTCACTACCTTCCGACAGAAACTTAGATATGTACATTTTTCATATTATTGACATTAAAATTCCTTTTAATATGTCATCAGCAGTTAAGAAGAAAACTCTCGTGAAGAGAAACATTTTCACCTCAGCAATAGCTTTATAGAGATTTGCCTATAAAATATGAATTGCATAATACATAGATGGCAAATTTATTAAATATTCCATTAGTAGCACGCCGCAACAACAATAATCTCTTTGGTAGCAAAAAACAATTAAACTTTGGTGGTGGGAAAGACGAAAATTCCTCACAAAAGTATTTAACATAAAAAAGTATGTCAATTGTGCTCTGCAATATAATATTTAACATTTTGTTTCAATTTTTTGTTTTCATATATCAAAAGTTCATTCCGAATAATTTACTAAACTTGTGATTTATGATTTACCTTCTTAGTTTTAAATTAAGTAGTGAAGTTGAAATATTACTCAAAAGGTAATTAAGACCATCAATTCAACTATCTAAGATCTTGATTTGTGAGATGCTAATTGAAATGAATTTTTCTGTAATTTACATGGGAAAATTTTTGGAATTACCCTGAGCAGCACCTTAAAGAGTTTTGATGCACTTAATTACTGCCCTTTTATAAATAAAGATTATGAACTTTTCAATGTGATGATTCATCAATCTAATTATGGATAAAGAAGCCTTAACATACTCTGGAATCATTGACAGACCTTATTTTTAAAAGTTATATTTGGTAATTTTTAACTCAATTAGACTAAACTAGGTAATTACTGTCCAAGTTCTCTTTTATCAACAGAATAATATTTTGAATAATTAAATATCCCAAAAATTATATGAATATGCGTGTTCTGTTTACAATTACAAGAACAAAAATATTCTACAACATTCTATAGAACTCAAGTAGAGCTGATATTTAATTTTGATAATTTTTTGTTTCTTCTTTACTTGGTAAATGCTCATCATTTTTGGTAGATAATAAATCTTCGATTTATTGAATATTCGTGTGGATAATCTCGTTCAAAAATTTATACGAAGCTTTAAAAAATAGCAGATGATGACAAATATTGTTATGATGCTGTTATTTCTGCACGAAGCATGTCTTGCGATTTATATAAAATGTCTGAAACCAAAATTTGACAAAAAAATTCACGATCAAATAATGTCATTGAATAGAGAGTTGAGGAGATTATTAAATGTCAATAGTAAGGAGTCAGATAGTCATTTTAAAATATTTTTTCACGAGTTTGTCGCGGGCGAATAATTTGTTTCAAAATTTATCTTTTTTTGTGCATTATTTTAATGATTTCAACTTAACAAAAATAAAAACATCAGCATTTAATGCCCATTTCAAAAAAGTATTGTGTGTTAATATTTCCACATTATTATATCTTCTCAAAAAAAAGAGTACATATCTTATAACAAATAAATAGGTAAAGGTAGTGGCGATTAGCTGCCGTGAAAAAATTGCAAGTACAAAGAATATTTTGAGGTAATTGCGGTGTATTTTATGGACAGATTTAATCGTGAAGCATTATAATATATAAGCTCACGCTGTATAATATCTACATTAAAATCTACAGAACATTCAATAATTCACATAAGTAAAATATACATAAAGATTTAGACTTAATGGAAAATTTTGATTTTTTTAATAAAGCGTGTTTATTTTAGGATTATTTGGATAGCATTTAGTGGTCTTTTCTCCTATGTATTCATAAAATTTTTACATGTTCAAGACAGAACCTCAGGCTCAATTGAAACCTGTTCATTTATCATTTTTTGACAAAAATAAATTTCACGTTTTGAAACGAAGCAATAGTGTTCAAGTACTTTTGCATCTAAAGCAGTGATGGGTTACTTGTAATCGACGGGACAAAAATGAGACCTCCTATTATGTCTATGTTTTATTACTAGAGTTTACAATCAGGAATTTTTGATTTTTTGGATGACAATCTTGTGAATCCGGGTACATCCCACGAATAGCAAAACTATTTGCCAAAAATATTTATTATCAAGTTATTAATAGATTCATTCATATTAAAAGCTAGACAAAAGAATCTCGGAATCTAAACAAACGTGTTAATTTTGTTTTGAATTATATGATCTTTTAATGAAGTAAAATATTAAAATTTGCAAAAAATTAATTAGCATTAAATGAGCATTAAATATAAAGATTAAATTTGTTTTGTTTTAAAGAATTTATTTCTGCATGAAACGAGTTCCATGGCAACAATGTTACTATTTAATCACTGTAAATCCATTAAAAAGAAAAATTTATTGTACAGTAGATTAATGAAGTTTTTGTTAAGTTAGGTTAAGGACAAAACTTGCGTAAGAAAGCTTCTAGAAAGTTGAATTCATTGAGAACAAAGTTTCACAAAATAAACAATTTTTTGATGCATTTCGATAAAAATTTGTTGAATGAACTTTATTGTGGGTTTTATTTCATTTTTGAACAATTTAAATCCTTTCATTAACGGAGGATAACGATGAGATGAAATTAAAATTTGCATGCAAACTTAACAAAATTAATAAAGCTTGTAGATTTCATTTTTACAAATCAAATATTGTACGCAGGTATTTAAACTGTTAAAAATCAATTTTTAAATTTTTTCATATCTGTAATTGCGCTCTTTTTTATAGGTTTTTGGAAAAGGTTATCTTAGTCTATAATTTGCGGATTTAGACATTGGATTTTTATATCTTTAGTAATGATACTTGCTCAATAATTCAATTGCACAATTTAATTTTATGAAAACATAATTAATTTTTTTTTAATAAAAATGTGTTTAAGAAGAAGATTATGATCACATCAAGATTAAGCTTTTTTACGAAATCTCGATCGTTATAGTAAAATGTGAGGAAATGTGCGGAAAAAAACTAGAGAATGATTCTGATTTTAAATCAATAAATATTAATAAAGAATAAGAGTTTGACTTTATAATTATCTAAAATTATTATTCGTTTAATTTTTAAGTGCAAATAATATGCATTAAAATGTTTAATCTGGATATAAATAAATAAAAACAATCACAGACAGAAAGCAAAACGAAATAAATGAGGTTCAAAAACTCGTTTAAATATCGTGCGAAAATAATGTCAATTTTTTCTTTCTGGAACATAAAGTGCAATGAAATCGAAAGCGGGTGTGTGTGTGAAGTACGGCAGAGAACTATCACAATAAAATTCAAATGATGTGTTTATCACCCTTAATTCAGGTACAATACCTTTTTCATAATATTAAAAGCATTAAGAGAAAATGTGGTTTAAATAAAAGAAAAGTACGGCAGATATTTTGATTAGAATCAGTTTTACTGGTTCATGGTAGTTCATGTTATTTTAGAGGGTGACAAAAAAATCAAAAACTCGTGATAGGTCTCTTCCGTACTTCAGACACACCGAAGCGGCACAAGAATCTGTATACGTTGATTAGGTATTCCGTCCATAAAATTATTTTAATAAAAATATTTTTTTACACACCTCTGAATTTAATCTCAATTGGTTTTCAATTTTTCTGTGTCTTGCTTTTCGTTTAATATTTTTTATGAATTGAATGTTGATCACAAACAATCTTCAACAGCAGTTTAAGTCAATATACACATTAAATTTCTCTTATTTTGCAAAAAAAAAGATATTGTATATTATGCAATAAATGTCTCTTTATAACTGCTTTTGTGTCTGTCAGCTACATTAGCTCATTCATAACAATTAAAAAGTATCCAAATTGTAATGAAAAGAGAAATGACAGACATGAACATATCATAAATGTTGATATCAATTAATGTTACTAAACACACTTCTCCCAATATTTAACACTCAACAATATCTTTGTTTTTGTATCATACGTAGCTCCTTAATTATCTAGTTCAGTTGTCACTGAACTTTTCTTACAATTCAACTTGTTATTACTATTTACATTTCTTCATCAGTTTAAGCACATATAGTTTTTTTTTATTGCAGCATGTCGAAATTAATTATCACCCATTAATTTATAAATTGTCTAATTTTTAATTTTATTTGATGGAACTATAAAAATGCTTCCATGAGTTTACGACACACTCCTTCACTTAGGCTGTGTAAAACAACAACTGAAACATTACTTTTTGACTCAAACTATCGGTGCCGTTTTTAAAAATAAAACGAAAATTTGTGCTTAAGTTTTTCAATATTCTGCTTTTAAGTTTTTGTTTCTGGTGAGCAATGGAAGTCTGAGAGACATAAGAAACACAACAATAAGTTGCAAGCAGAGAGGGAGCGAGAGAGGAAGAAATTTGTCTAAATTTCCAGTTTCATTTTCGTTTGTGCTCGCAATCGTATGCTATACATGACTCAGTGACTCATAATTGCTCATTTTTGCTGTTGAGTCGATGGATGGATGATTGTCACTGATATCTTCCACAGCTCTCAATTACATCATTGTTTTTTGCTTATGTCTCGCTCCTACAGTGATGCACATACATGGCACGATGTCAGTAAGTCAAGTGCATGACGTGAGATTTAATGTTGCGAATTATTTTAATTAAAACGTCATATATATACTAGCTGCTGTGGATTTCAAGCATACAAAAAAGGCGTGGAAATGTACCAATATAATCACAATGTGCGATCTTCATTAATAATTTCTTTCATCACAATTTCTCGTGCCGTGTTTGACTGATTACTAATTATATGCAAATTTACTTAAATTTTGCGACGTATTGCACATTCCAATTTCCTTAAAAATCTTTAATGAACTCTAAGGTCTTATTAGTCACCTATACAATGCTAATGATGCAATCTAACGATCATCTATGCTTAACGATTTTTCTTTGCTTCATCTCACATGTGAATTTGTAGAGTACAATTCACTCATCATTAGATTTGTAATTAATGCTTATTTGATTGTTACTACGTTTTTCTTAACTTGCTTTCTTATCTGTCTGTTTATTTGTCTGTCGAGGTCAAATCTTGCGATCAATTTTTCGACCACTTCTACTGCTCCAATCGAGCTCATTTTTTTTATTCACACGTATTCCCGGTGACAATACAATATTTTAACACATTGGAACCACAAAATGCTTAATTATAGTACAATTTTAATAAAACTTTTTTATTTGGGAGAAAAATCCAATGTCAATGATATGAAATTTTGATTTGTTTAAAATATTATACTTGTGATGCTCTAAAGTCATTTATATGATTCATTATAGTTTAATTAATATTACTAATTATTAATTATACCATAAATTTGAGCAGCTAAAGATATTCTGGTAAGACAAAAAAATTGACATGTAATTTTTTCATGAATATTCGTAAGTGAAAATTTGAATTTTCAAAAAAACCGCTAAGCACAAGTCCGTTACGAATTTATGCAAAATAACTATTAATATGCGATGTGCATTTAGCACACATTGATTGAGCATAAATTTATGCTGTTTTAAATGTATTGCATTATTTATAACACTTCACCAACTTAATTAAATTGACTTTTCTTTTTATTAACGGCTTGGCGTATTTTTGCATAACATATGAATGATATTCATTGAATTTAAATTTGAAAATCCGTTATAAATACGTTACCTATAGATTTGATTTGCATCTTTATGTTAAGAATCCACACGTTATGTAGTAGGAATGGTTCGGATAAACACAAAATCTTTACGAGTGATTTTTAATGTACTTTACTAATGAATGCTTTAAAAAAATTAAATTTTATAAAACGAATGAAAAATTTTGAAAGTCGTTACTAATTTCCCATTGAAAACTGGTAATTTATAAACAGTTGAACGTAACGGAGTGAAACGAAGTGGAGTTCAACACACCAGTAACCTACGAACCTACTGTAATCTATAAACAGTTGAACGTAACGAAGTGCAACGAAGTGGAGTTCAACACACCAGTAACCTATGAACCTACTGTAATCTATAAACAGTTGAACGTAACGAAGTGCAACGAAGTGGAGTTCAACACACCTGTAACCTATAAACCCACTGTAATCTTTAAACAGTTGAACGTAACGAAGTGCAACGAAGTGAAGTTCAACACACCTGTAACCTATAAACCTACTGTAACCTATAAACAGTTGAACGTAACGAAGTGCAACGAAGTGAAGTTCAACACACCAGTAACCTATGAACCTACTGTAATCTATAAACAGTTGAACGTAACGAAGTGCAACGAAGTGGAGTTCAACACACCTGTAACCTATAAACCCACTGTAATCTTTAAACAGTTGAACGTAACGAAGTGCAACGAAGTGAAGTTCAACACACCTGTAACCTATAAACCTACTGTAATCTATAAACAGTTGAACGTAACGAAGTGCAACGAAGTGAAGTTCAACACACCTGTAACCTATAAACCTACTGTAATCTATAAACAGTTGAACGTAACGAAGTGCAACGAAGTGGAGTTCAACACACCAGTAACCTACGAACCTACTGTAATCTATAAACAGTTGAACGTAACGAAGTGCAACGAAGTGGAGTTCAACACACCAGTAACCTATGAACCTACTGTAATCTATAAACAGTTGAACGTAACGAAGTGCAACGAAGTGGAGTTCAACACACCTGTAACCTATAAACCCACTGTAATCTTTAAACAGTTGAACGTAACGAAGTGCAACGAAGTGAAGTTCAACACACCTGTAACCTATAAACCTACTGTAACCTATAAACAGTTGAACGTAACGAAGTGCAACGAAGTGAAGTTCAACACACCAGTAACCTATGAACCTACTGTAATCTATAAACAGTTGAACGTAACGAAGTGCAACGAAGTGGAGTTCAACACACCTGTAACCTATAAACCCACTGTAATCTTTAAACAGTTGAACGTAACGAAGTGCAACGAAGTGAAGTTCAACACACCTGTAACCTATAAACCTACTGTAATCTATAAACAGTTGAACGTAACGAAGTGCAACGAAGTGAAGTTCAACACACCTGTAACCTATAAACCTACTTAATCTATAAACAGTTGAACGTAACGAAGTGCAACGAAGTGAAGTTCAACACACCTGTAACCTACAAAACCTACTGTAATCTATAAACAGTTGAACGTAACGAAGTGCAACGAAGTGAAGTTCAACACACCTGTAACCTATGAACCTACTGTAATCTATAAACAGTTGAACGTAACGAAGTGCAACGAAGTGAAGTTCAACACACCTGTAACCTATAAACCTACTGTAATCTATAAACAGTTGAACGTAACGAAGTGCAACGAAGTGAAGTTCAACACACCAGTAACCTATGAACCTACTGTAATCTATAAACAGTTGAACGTAACGAAGTGCAACGAAGTGGAGTTCAACACACCTGTAACCTATAAACCCACTGTAATCTTTAAACAGTTGAACGTAACGAAGTGCAACGAAGTGAAGTTCAACACACCTGTAACCTATAAATCTACTGTAATCTATAAACAGTTGAACGTAACGAAGTGCAACGAAGTGAAGTTCAACACACCTGTAACCTATAAACCTACTGTAATCTATAAACAGTTGAACGTAACGAAGTGCAACGAAGTGAAGTTCAACACACCTGTAACCTATAAACCTACTCTAATCTATAAACAGTTGAACGTAACGAAGTGCAACGAAGTGGAGTTCAACACACCTGTAACCTATAAACCCCCTATAATCTTTATTTCTCTATTTCATTAGAATAAGACTAAAAAGGAGAAAATAAAATACTTTATAAAAAAAACTTTTTAAAAAAACTACGTTTTTCGCGTAGACTAAAAAGTAGAAAATAACTTTTATTCTTGGTTGTAAAGAATTTGGTTTTAAATTTTCAGATTATATTTAATAAATTTTTATATCCTAGTCAATATTGTTCACAAAGTTTCGAATAAGTGCACTTTGATCTTATCGTATAACTCAACAACTTAAAAACGTGGGCGCATTATAAGAGGAGAAATAAGTTTATGTGAAATCAATACTTTATGATAAACTTAAATTAATGCGCTCACGTTTTTAAGTTGTTGAGTTATACGATAAGATCAAAGTGCACTTATTCGAAACTTTGTGAACAATATTGACTAGGATATAAAAATTTATTAAATATAATCTGAAAATTTAAAACCAAATTCTTTACAACCAAGAATAAAAGTTATTTTCTACTTTTTAGTCTACGCGAAAAACGTAGTTTTTTTAAAAAGTTTTTTTTTAACTATACAGTTCATAACTGGTATTCATCAATATTTCTGACGGTTAATATCTGGTATTTTCCCAAGGTCAATGTGCAATGCTTACCAAAAAAATATTTGAAGTGCATTTCAAAGCTATTCGCTCCAACATGTACGTGCTAGTTGATAATTTTTCAACTTCAACTTTAATATATCCACAATTGTGCATCATCTAAAACTGGTATGAACTTGAGTTTTTTGACTCGATTTCTTTGAAAATTACCACTTGATTGAATAGTTTATTTCTATTTTTGGGTATATATTTTGATGCTCAATATATTTGTGAAGATTGAATTATTAGAAGATTAATTTTAGATTTCTTAACTATAGCTTTAATATTACCAACCACGATTAAAATTAAATATTGCATTAAAGAGGATCTAAATACACAAAAAAGAAATTGGATGGTGATCAAAGTTTGCTCAGTACTAGCTTTTCGGTTGTGAGATATGCACATGACAAACTATGTTAAAAACAAAAGATCATCATAATTTTAATCATCAAAGCCATAAAACTCGTTAATTATTTTCATTCCTTGTATTTAGCTGAAGAAATGAAATGAACATAATTTTGTATGCTTAAAGTCGAAATAAATCAAACTAGGTAAGGGGCCGTTCACTTATTACGTTCGCATTTTAGGGGGGAGGGGGGGGGGATAGGTTTGAAAAATTGTAACCAAATGTAACATAGGATGGGGGGTCTCTAAATCTGTCATTCATATGATGATTAATATGATCCCATCATTGTGATATTTACATTCAAAGTTGATTGAATTTTCCAAAATTCGATCGGGCATAATATTTTTGAATTTTCTTCAAAAAAAAAAATTTTTTTTTGCTTTATATCTCAATCCAATAATTCATGAGAATACTATATAGTATCAATCAAAACATGACCTATTTAGCTGTACAGTATTTTGATGTTTAAGAAAAAAAATACAAAAGAAATTTAACCGTCTTTTTAGAATAAAAAATTATCAAAATAAAATAAATTATGAACGTTCAAGGGGGGGGGGGGGTTGTGAGTTGTAACATATTGTAACAAGGGGGGGAGGGGGGGTGAAAAAAGTTTCGTTTTCTTGCGGAACGTAATAAGTAAACGGCCCCTAAGCAAAGTTCCGCAAATTTATTAAATCGTGAACTAATGAATTGATCGCAAAGTGCTTTTTCTACATTTAATATTTCGCTTAGCATGACCTAATTTTCATACATTTCATTTTTTCAATATATTGCAACATGTGTAATAACAAGAATGTCTAAGTCATTTTCTTGTACATAATCGCTTACAACCTACAGCATGCGGAATTTGATTTTTCGCTCAGCGATTTTTTAATACTTCTTCTTTAATCCAAATGAGAATGAGAAGAAATTAAAAGCAAATCAATATTTGCGATTTATTATTTAAATCATACAATAGTAAGCTTGAGTAAAGACACGGAAGTCTTTAAACAAATTTTAAGAACTAATTTGAATGGAATCAATCCCTTCTTCTTATTAATATTCTTGCTTTCAATTTACAATATTATAATTGTTTGGTATTCAGTCTGAATTCAATTGTCGACTGCGGCTGCTTTATTCTGATGTTCACACAACAGTAAACAATGAGCAGCATGATTTGTCAATGTCGATGACTTTTGCTGTCTAGCAGCATCAAATAACAATTTTTCTCACTTTCAATTGTACCATGTATTGTTAACTAGACGTAACAGTAACAATAATAGTGTTTAATAATGATGATGGAGATGCGCCTAAGCTTTGTGTGATTTTTCATACATAACTCTAACAATAACAAATGCCTCATGCCTCAAATTATTCCTTCTTTTTTTGCTTTTCACTTAACTTAATGATATTTCTCTTCTATTTACCCAATTTGTGTTAATTTTAATGTACACAAAACTACGTATAAATCGGTCATTCATAGACGAGGGATGTTTTCCTCTACAATTGTTTGCAATGATGTTGAAATGCTTAAATATTGAGAGAAATATGCATGACAAAAATATTTAACGCCTTCACCACACTTAATTTACTTATGACTCTTTTTTTTTGCAAAAAAATACGTCTTGTGCAATGTCCATGTAATTTTTGTTAATCTATCGAGGTTTCGTTATTTATCTCCTTATATATCACAAATGTTATAAGTCTTATGACACAGAATTAAGCATTTATCGAGATGATGACATACTGGCACAATTTCACATGGACAAATAATGAATTAACGTGAATTTGTCACTTTTAATTATCACATTTATTTCATCATAATTGTGTACAGACTTCTGTTATACTTTTGATAGATTTTTTTCAATTCACACACAGCAAACTCCATCCACAATCAGCGGCTATGCTGTATCGACTAAAAGAAAAGTGCAATGATTTTTAAATAAACAGACTAGACTAAGAAATTCTACTCGAACATGTCTTGAGTACATTGAACTGCTTTCAAGGAACTTTAAATTTTATGCGTATGAAGGCGACTTATTTTTTATTATTCATTGATCTTTCAAAGTTCAGTGACAAGAAATAAGGAAGGTAATGGAAGATCATTGAACCATGAAGTATTTTAATTAAGACTTTAATGAAGCACAACCTTATCAATTTGTAGATAGCTTAAGGACGTTTGAATTTTTTAATAAAATACACTTTATTTCTGATAAAACATTTTAAGAATATTTTATGGATATATCCAATATTCATGATACTTAGCCTCCCTGGAAGTAGTAAAACTAACTTTAAACATTGTTTTTAAATCGTTCTTTTATTATTCTCTGTTTTCAAGCATGTCTCGTTAATGATAATTTGACAAAAAGTAAATTCTTCATCGTTCAATAGAATTAAATAGGTAAATTTAAATTTGAAAGAATAATTTAATAAATTAGTGATTCCATTACTTATGATCTAAAGACTTTTTTTTCCATTTTATAAAATTCTAAAAATGGTTTAAATTTATCCTATAAATTTACAAAAATGGAATTTTAATAGATACAGGGAATCAGTGAGTTGATTTTTTATAGAGATCTTTAAAAAAAGGTTTTTATGATATTTTCCGATATAGGATTGATATATTTGAATTTCAAAGATTTGGTGATATTTCATTTATCATAGAATAACAAGAAAAGAATAACAGTATTAATGACGTATTAATTTATGTAACACTGCATAAAATTTTGTCATTAAATAAGAACACTGACAGAAAAGTGATTAGCAAAACAATAAGATTTGACATTTTTAATAAAGAAGGATAAAAAACTATACAAACAAACTTCTAATCGCAACAATTGCTGCTAAAATCAATGTGTACAGACTTAGTTGAAATTTATTCGCTTCTCCGCATAATTCTATTTGGCTTTCATTCAAATGTATATTAAAGCAATGTTTTAATTGTCTACGATATGGAGGCGAAGTTCTCAGCTTATGGCATTGAAGACTTTCATTATATTCTTTCATGACTGGTTGATTCATCAATGGTACGTGATCCTCTACGCGATCACACAAAGTGGACCCAATAAAAAGAATCAAATTACTACTGGGTATTGGTAAAACCATGTATGGTCGATTGCATCCGCTCATTGGATACTCGTAAAATGATTTTTCTTTTCCTTTAGTTCTGATATATTGATATAATGTAAACATTTTGTCGCATCGCTCAGGTCTCGTTCGATTTATAAGGACTCTTCGGTCGAATTCTTGTTCCTTTGATTTTGAAGCAGGTGCGTCGTATCGCTCTGTAGGATCTGGTGGATAATCATCTGGATCTCCATACGCCACTATTAGAAAATCAAGATTAAATGAAACTATAAATAAGTGTAACAACTATACTTACTTCCTTCATTATATGAATAGGAACCATAAGCTTGGACATTATCTACTAATACGCTTAAATATAACCAAATCAAGTGACTAGTAATGATTTTAAAGAGTGTCCAAATGTATTTGAAGGGCTGAAAGAACATTATAATTACTAAAACTGATAAAACATAATTTTTTTGATTGTCATCACTTACTGCTACAAGCTTAGATGCAAGACTAGCTGAATCCTTATTAATAAAGCAAATTGCTTGGTAATCATAAATCTTGACTGGTTGGTAAACTCTGTTATCAATTAATTTCCTCATTGCAGCACCTCGTATTTCGCCAAAAAATCTTCCTGTATCAGCAATATCATCAGATATTATTACATATCCATTATCATCCAAAACAAAGCATTCAAATTCATCAGAAAAGCATGAAGCGCATTGTGGATCACCTACAGGACAACTTCCAGTTATATTCTTGAAAAAACCATACATCGCTGTATGTTGAAACTGGAAACCAACTACTGCTACAGGAGCCATTCGATGCTCACTTTCAGTATGGAAAACTGCATGAGTTGCTGTTACTAATGTATCGTTTCGATTAGCAGCATCAAATGGAACGGCATAAACAAAGCTTTTTGGATCAACAAAATGTTGCTCAACAGCTCGCTTATACCATGTTTCATCAATAGTCTTCTTATTAGTTTCACTAAATTCATTTCTGCGTGACAAACAAAGAGAAATAAACAATTGTAATATTTAAATTTATAGACATTTCTTCTTACTCTGGTCTAACATCGTCTCCTTTCTTCTCATTGTGATCATACCACCTCAAAAGTCCACTGTGTGTCGCCAGAAAAGACACGCTTATCCCAAAGCGTTGCTTTAATTCGTCCCTTAAATGAAGAATTTGAAGTAGAAACAAAAAGAAATAATATTTGTCAATGTTGAAGGAGGTTTTCTAAACATTATAAAAGTTGACTATAGGCAATATTTTGTGTGTTAAACCTGTACAAAAAATTATTTTAATTTTGATTGCATAGGTATTTTGTTGTGTATTTCATAAAGAAGAAAAAAATATATGTAGACTTGTTGAATTCCAGTCACATTAACTCAAGTGACGAATTACCTTGGTATTTTACCAAATAAGAGCGCTATTGGTCTATTAAAGTCATAAAAATAGTTTTTTAAATAAAAAAAAAATAGAAAAAAATTGTGCTGTGCATATAAAGTATTTTAAAAATTCAAGGGAGAAATAAGAGATCCTCAAGTGATTGTTGGTGATAAATAAATTTAAAGTCTCCGGTGCATTAACTAGGTGAAAAATTAATTAATTTATAATTAAACTTAGACACTTACTCTTTTTCGTTTGATCCAAAAGTAGAATCTTTCGGAAACCATTCTGTAACTTTTGCATCATATACCAACGATTGAATTAAGCCTCTATCACAATAATATGAATCTTTAGCGCTATTGCTTATGTCTAAAAATAATTATCACGATTTTATCATTCAAGTTTTTAATTAAATGCTTCATGTTTTGACTTACTGGTATGCTCAGGTGGAGGTTTGCTTCTATTCAAAGGCCATTTCCATCCCGGTTGTTTCATTTTCTCTATGAAATATATAAGTTCAGCCTCAGGTGATGAGAACGACTCATTATTTTGCTTGCAATAATACCTAATATATTTTAATTAATTCCTAATCACTTATTCAAAGAAAATTAATTAAATTTACCAATCGGGATGTACTTTCCAGTTTGAACCATTAAAAAAGCTATGCATATTTGTGCCTTTAACTATCTCACGATGAATGTCATCTTCACTTCTTGGCTGTATACTAAATTTTCCATATTCTTCAGGAAGAGAAATCACCAAAGTAAATGGTGTTTCCTCTATTCCTATCCAGTAATAATGACGTTTCATTCTTGAAACTCTTCTCTATGGGGTTTGAAAAAGAATTGTGGTTAAAAATGTTAAAAAGTTAATTACAACCTTACCATTTTATCAAAGTGGAATTTCATGTTCAACACTTTACTTCCAGTCGACTGATTGATGATTTGTTCTCGGAGCTGTAAGAATTAATCAATATTCAATTAAATCTGATGAGATTTTATAGATTTTGTATGCCTACCTCCAATAAAAGCGGATCATAATCTCTCGGCTCACGATCATCATTTACAAGCTCAACATCAATCATATCAACGGAGTTATAAGCTGGCTTTAAAATATCTTTATAGAACTAAAGAAGAAGAAAAAAATGTTTTCTTAATTAATAGGAATGAAAGGTGTATCTTTGAATAATTGAACTTACTACAGGACGAAAGTCTGGATGCGTAAGAATCAAGCCATTATTGTCAACAATAAATGCATATCCTCCGACTCCCAACTAAAATGAAAATTTATAGCATGTATGTAGTTGAGGTAAAAAAGATTGATTTAAGCTTTAAAGTTACCGAGAATGGCTGCAACAATTCCTTAATATCTGCGATTGGAACATCAGTACCCGCAACTCCAAGAAGGTTTGCGATTCGAGTCTTAAATGAATGGAAAAATTAAATAAAGTTATTACCGAGATATAGGTAGACAGGACATGACTCTTTCACTATGATCACGACATTGAAAAAATCTATCCTTGTGGAAATAGTTAAATCTAAAAAAATTGTTGTAAGTCATTCTAAATTAGTGATAGCTAAATCTTATTTTAAGTATTTCATTCAGTGATGTCATTTGTATGTCTAAAAATGTATTTGCTATATTATTATTATTATTAGAAAATTAGTAACACACTACGTATCTAAAAAAATCTATTACTAGCTTAAAATTATTTATTATTGTACCACTTCATAATTCTAGCACTGTATCATTTCCCATTTCTACGATTTTTTTTATCATATCCACTTTACAAAATATTATGTACTTTTCTGATGAGCTATTCTAATTAATTAGTAAAAAAAATTGACGACTGCCACTCTGTGGAGTTTTAATTTGTTATCTAGCAAATATATCTAAATGAAAAAAATCTGCTCAGATTCTATTTAACGATGTTATATATTTGTATAGAAAAATCGATGTTACGATACCTCACGTGTTACGGTTACCCAATATGCCTCATTTATCAAAACTTCTTCTGTTATGTTCTATAAAAATGTTGAGTATGTATATTATATGTACATAATGATTAGACAAGGTCAATAAAATCCTTTTTTGAATAAAATATCACATCCAATATGTTCACATTTTTTTCCTCATTTTGTTGAAATAAATAATTTCTTAATGAATTTTATACAAATTTTATTCATACTCACCGCATTTTCTCTCTTATCGTAAATTGGGATCGATACCGTTGTCATGAAATTAAATTTCTTCGTGATATCAGAATCGTCACTTTCAATTAAGTCGTAACTTAAAGTCGATGGATCTTCAGGTAAATTATGAAAGTTTCGATTCTTTCTATACACCATAAATCGATCTCTTTGACTTGCTCTTTCACGACATTCCCATTCATAATCGGTCAATTGTGGATCCTAAAATCAAAAATTATCTTTGCAACTATTCTGAAGAAATGTTCATGAATTTCAAACTCACTATGACATCTGCATAGACTTGTGACCAAACAATTGGATGGTCTGTTCGATTAAGTACTAGTGGACGTGCCATGACTGGAATATACTGCAGAACTTGTTCCCTTACTTCGGCTAAAGTACTTAAATGCACATAATATCCCCTATTATCACACGCCATATTTTTTATATTTGTTACATCTGGAACTTCACGTCCAATTAAATAAGTAAATACACGAACAGGAATCATCGGTTTGTCCTTCCAGTTGTATACTTCGAAAACTTCATCCACAGGTATCGGAAGTCCGTCAGAAATCATCATAATAGCTTGATTACAGTTGGCTCCATCACGTGATTCACGATATTCTGTAAGCGTGTCAAAAGCTCTTGTTAAAGCAGCAGAAAAGTTTGCAAGCTCATTGGTTTCAATGTGATGAAGTGCTTCTTTCATAATACGGATATTTGCTGAGTTTGCTTGAACAAGCGTATCACCAAAACATTCAATTACATCTCGTATCTCATTGGAAAATGTAAATATATTCACGAAATCGTTCGGTGTGAGTGTATCGAGAATATTTTCTACAATATGTCTAGCAATATCCTTCTTCTGACCCGTCATTGATCCTGAATTGTCTACAAGAATAACAACATCTTTTTGACTATTTGCAGCACCAATATACCAATGGCGCATTCTACAATCGTACAAGTCGACTGGATCGAATTTCCATTTTGTTGCTGGAAATTGACGTAAAAATCCAGTTGAACTGCAAAAATATTGCCAGAATAATGAACTATCCGTCTTATAATTATTATCAAAAATTTTGTCAAGCATTTCAGACCATTTGATAGCTTTGATGACATTTTTCGCTCTATCGTAAACATTTGTTGGTACATGAACGGAACTTAGAGATAAATTTATATAGTCACTAAATTTTTCGTTTTCGGATAAATACATCACAGGTTTGGGTGCATCGAGCTTATCTAAATTTTCTTCACCGTCTGATATTGAAGGTGATTCTGTTAATGATACTTCACTAGGTTCTATCATTTCTTTCGAATTATAATATGTAAAATTTCTCTCTACAACTTCATCGGAACTAGCTGATATAGATCCAATTTCTTGTGCTGTATCAACAATACGTTTAATTGCACTAATTCTTGCATCCATCATCTTTTTTATCTCTTTAGATATGTCTTCGACAATCGTTACACCTGATCGATTGACTATTTGAGCTTGCTTATAGCTCTGAAGGACATGCTCTTTCCGAGTGATGAATTCACCAAAATTAAATAACTCGACACCAAACTTTTCAGCCCATTGCTGTGCTCTAGAAGTGGACAATAATATGATAAATTCCATAGAGATAGGATTAATGTCATCTTACGTTTGGTATCTAATGATTTTAGATTCATCTGCACAAATAAATGTTGATTGAATTAAGTATAATAGAACTATCGTGCTAAAATTTATTCTACACATATTTTTTCCTAAAACTTTTAAGCTATCAATGAAAATCTGATATTTGAAAACTCATAACTATGGAAATTTTTAAGAAATTCTAAAGAAAAACTATTAATTTCAATAAATTTCGAAAAGTTTTATGAAAAATTTTCACAGTTGAAAAATCGTTAAAATCGATATTTTCTTGTTCATGCGCCAAATGAAAAGTTCCTTTCAGCGCATGTCAAACAAATTTCAAAAGTGCACGTGGAAAGCATGGTAAGCACGTGAAAAGCACATGTAGAGCATGCAACATATGACTTTAGCATGTGCTTTTCAACGTGAAATGCTAGAATTCTTGTCATGCTCAGTGTGATTTGTTTATGTTTTACAGAAAATTCCATGCTTTTTGCACGTTTTGTTGTCACCGCTGAACATGTGTTTAACATAAATTTTTAGATATCAGCATGAAATTAAATAATGGAAATTTGAAAGTTTTGTCTTGAAGAAAATCTTTAATGTTGTTGAATGAAAAACAGTTCAAGTCGCTGATTGCACCAACATAAATTGTTAAATAAAAGATTTATAATTTTAATAATGATGAATGGAAATCATGTGGGCCTCGTCACAAAAAAATTGTACGTGAGTGACGCTTTGTTATTCTTGATTATCTCCTTATCCTTAAAAGTGACAAAATTAAGAGTTACCTTTTTTAAAAAGAGAATTTAAATCCCCATCTATTGTTGTACACTTCACTTCTTGAAACTTTATAGTTGCTTAAAAAAACCACTTTAACTAAGCGTCACTCACGTACAATTTTTGGGAATTTTGCTATATCATCAATATTGTTTATTGATTCATCTCCAAATGTATTTTTTTACGTCCTAAATTCAATTCTGTTCTTTTTGAGTTTATAAAAAATTTAAAATTGTTGCGTTAACATACCTAAATGGACAAAATTAAGTTAAATTTTTATATTCACACCGTTTTCAAGTGTGAATCTATTGGTTTTGTTCAGATTGAAAAATCAGTTTTTTGAATTTTGTGAGGATATGGAGCAAGATAGTTTAAAATGTTCAGAGATAAAAAGTTTGTGCCTTGAATTTCACATCTTTTGCAAAAAACAGATTTCAAATTGGTTGGGGCATTGCTGAGAAAATCGCAAAATATGCTTTCTGTAAGCAAGCAAACAAGCAAACAAGCATGCAAGTTAATCAGCAAAAAATCTCAATAACGAGACATTGTAGAGACTTCAATTTTTTTACATTTGATCTGTGCTGCTCTATAGAAGAGCTGTATTGTTTTTAAGCAAGGTAGGAACAGCCGTTGCTTCAGAAAAAGCAAAAAACTTTCCTTTCTTACGGAATTTTCAAATTAAAAGTTCACTGTGATTTTTTTTAAATTAAATTTTGGATGAAAAAAATTTTTTTGAGCAAAGAACCAAGTAGGAAATACATTTTCAATTTTGGACTAGGGGCGATCTAAGTCAAAATCAATTTTGTCACTTTTTTCTTCGAGGGTTTATACAGTAGGAAATACATTTTCAATTTTGGACTAGCGGCGACCCTAGTCAAAATCAGTTTTCTCACTTTTTTCTTCGAGGGTTTATCCAAATGGATTGAAACTTTGCATAAATATTCTAGTGCTTAAAACAAATACAAATAAAACATCCTAGAATTTTTTTGAGCAAAGAGCCAAGTAGGAAATACATTTTCAATTTTGGACTGGGGGCGACCCTAGTCAAAATCAATTTTCTCACTTTTTTCTTCGAGGGTTTATCCAAATGGATTGAAACTTTGCATAAATATTCTAGTGCTTAAAACAAATACAAATAAAACATCCTAAAATTTTTTTGAGCAGAGAACCAAGTAGGAAATACATTTTCAATTATAAACTTGGGACAGGTCTAGTCAAAATCTAGTTTTTCACTTTTTTTTCTTCGAGGATAAATCCAAATACAGTAAAACTTTGTATGAGCATTATAATCCTAAGGCTGCACATTTCTAAATTAAAAAAAGTCATTTTTTTTGGACAAAATTTTAAGTCACGATGTTTTTGAATGTACAACCGAATTTATAAAATTTGGGTATGACGACATATAGAAAACATTTTTTGCTTTAGATATTTAAAACTGTTTTGTTTAAATATTAGTAAACTCACACAAAGTTTCACTGTAATTGGATAAACCTTTGAAGAAAAAAAGTGAAAAACTAGATTTTGACTAGACCTGTCCCAAGTTCATAATTGAAAATGTATTTCCTACTTGGTTCTTTGCTCAAAAAATTTTAGGATGTTTTATTTGTATTTGTTTTAAGCATTAGAATATTTATGCAAAGTTTCAATCCATTTGGATATACCCCCGAAGAAAAAAGTGACAAATTGATTTTGACTAGGGTCGCCCCAAGTCCAAAATTAAAAATGTATTTCCTTCTTGGTTCTTTGCTCAAATTTTAGGAAGTTTTATTTGTATTTGTTTAGAGCACTAGAATATTTATGCAGAAATTCAATCCATTAGGATAAACCCTCGAAGAAAAAAGTGAGAAAATTGATTTTGACTAGGGTCGCCCCCAGTCCAGAATTGAAAATGTATTTCCTACTTGGTTCTTTGCTCAAAAAATTTTATGATGTTTTATTTGTATTTGTTTAAAGCATTAGAATATTTATGCAAAGTTTCAATCCATTTGGATAAACCCCCGAAGAAAAAAGTGACAAAATTGATTTTGACTAGGGTCGCCCCTAGTCCAAAATTAAAAATGTATTTCCTACTTGGTTCTTTGCTCAAATTTTAGAATGTTTTATTTGTATTTGTTTAAGGCACTTGAATATTTATGCAAAGTTTCAATCCATTTGGATAAACCCTCGAAGAAAAAAGTGAGAAAATTGATTTTGACTAGGGTCGCCCCCAGTCCAGAATTGAAAATGTATTTCATACTTGGCTCTTTGCTCAAAAAATTTTAGGATATTTTATTTGTATTTGTTTTAAGCACTAAAATATTTTTGCAAAGTTTCAATCCATTTGGATAAACCCTCGAAGAAAAAAGTGACAAATTGATTTTGACTAGGGTCGCCCCTAGTCCAAAATTAAAAATGTATTTCCTACTTGGTTCTTTGCTCAAATTTTAGAATGTTTTATTTGTATTTGTTTAAGGCACTTGAATATTTATGCAAAGTTTCAATCCATTTGGATAAACCCTCGAAGAAAAAAGTGAGAAAATTGATTTTGACTAGGGTCGCCCCCAGTCCAGAATTGAAAATGTATTTCCTACTTGGCTCTTTGCTCAAAAAATTTTAGGATGTTTTATTTGTATTTGTTTTAAGCACTAAAATATTTTTGCAAAGTTTCAATCCATTTGGATATACCCTCGAAGAAAAAAGTGACAAATTGATTTTGACTAGGGTAGCCCCCAGTCCAAAATTAAAAATGTATTTCCTACTTGGTTCTTTGCTCAAATTTTAGAATAATTTATTTGTATTTGTTTTAGGCACTTAAATATTTATGCAAAGTTTCAATCCATTTGGATAAACCCTCGAAGAAAAAAGTGAGAAAATTGATTTTGACTAGGGTCGCCGCTAGTCTAAAATTGAAAATGTATTTCCTACTTGGATCTTTGCTCAAATTTTAAGATGTTTTATTTGTATTTGTTGTTAGCACTTGAATATTTATGCAAAGTTTCAATCCATTTGGATAAACCCTCGAAGAAAAAAGTGAGAAAATTGATTTTGACTAGGGTCGCCCCCAGTCCAAAATTAAAAATGTATTTCCTACTTGGATCTTTGCTCAAAAAAATTTTAGGATGTTTTATTTGTATTTGTCTTAAGCATTAGAATATTTATGCAAAGTTTCAATCCATTTGGATAAACCCTCGAAGAAAAAAGTGAGAAAATTGATTTTGACTAGGGTCGCCCCAAGTCCAGAATTGAAAATGTATTTCCTACTTGGCTCTTTGCTCAAAAAAATTTTAGGATGTTTTATTTGTATTTGTCTTAAGCATTAGAATATTTATGCAAAGTTTCAATCCATTTGGATAAACCCTCGAAGAAAAAAGTGACAAATTGATTTTGACTAGGGTCGCCCCTGGTCCAAAATTAAAAATGTATTTCCTTCTTGGTTCTTTGCTCAAATTTTTAAATGTTTTATTTGTATTTGTTTTAAGCACTTGAATATTTTTGCAAAGTTTCAATCCATTTGGATAAACCCTCGAAGAAAAAAGTGAGAAAATTGATTTTGACTAGGGTCGCCCCCAGTCCAGAATTGAAAATGTATTTCCTACTTGGCTCTTTGCTCAAAAAATTTTAGGATGTTTTATTTGTATTTGTTTTAAGCACTAAAATATTTTTGCAAAGTTTCAATCCATTTGGATAAACCCTCGAAGAAAAAAGTGACAAATTGATTTTGACTAGGGTCGCCCCAAGTCCAAAATTAAAAATGTATTTCCTTCTTGGTTCTTTGCTCAAATTTTTATATGTTTTATTTGTATTTGTTTTAAGCACTTGAATATTTTTGCAAAGTTTCAATCCATTTGGATAAACCCTCGAAGAAAAAAGTGAGAAAATTGATTTTGACTAGGGTCGCCCCCAGTCCAGAATTGAAAATGTATTTCCTACTTGGTTCTTTGCTCAAAAAATTTTAGGATGTTTTATTTGTATTTGTTTTAAGCACTAAAATATTTTTGCAAAGTTTCAATCCATTTGGATAAACCCTCGAAGAAAAAAGTGACAAATTGATTTTAACTAGGGTCGCCCCAAGTCCAAAATTAAAAATGTATTTCCTTCTTGGTTCTTTGCTCAAATTTTTATATGTTTTATTTGTATTTGTTTTCAGCACTTGAATATTTTTGCAAAGTTTCAATCCATTTGGATAAACCCTCGAAGAAAAAAGTGAGAAAATTGATTTTGACTAGGGTCGCCCCCAGTCCAGAATTGAAAATGTATTTCCTACTTGGTTCTTTGCTCAAAAAATTTTAGGATGTTTTATTTGTATTTGTTGTTAGCACTAATTGAATTTGTTCACAATTTCTGTGAAGTCATGGCAGATTTGCAGTCGAAAATGTTAAATAGTAGCTACTTTTGCACTAGGTTGCTTCATAAATTC